ACACACACCTTGAATTTGTTCAGAGCCTTAGCGAGCGCCTCGATGGTCTCCATGTCCAGGTGATTGGTCGGCTCGTCCAGGATGTAGAAGTTTGGGCTGAGGACACAAAGATGACATCATCACCATCAAAACCACAATAACAGGTTTATCAATCTGGCTGGGGGCGTGTTCACAGGAAGAGGCGGAGTCACGTCCAGCCAGGTCAGATTTCAACAGCGAGCGCTTTGAGAAGAGTGCGACTGATCCTCAGCACCGCCTGCTCCGTCCTTCAGCCACAGCGATGATGATGATGAAGACAGATTTCTTCCAGACACTCACACAGACACACACGCTCACACAGACACACACACACACACACTCTGATCTGTCTTTACCAAGTTGGTACATTTTGTTCACACTCTCTCTCGTTATTAAAGGAAACTGAAGGAACGTGTTTCACTTGCTGTACGTTAAAGACGCTGCACAGAGTCAGCAGATGGAGCAAAAACAAACACACTGATGTCTGCCGTGTGTTTCTGATTAACATCGTATTTAAAGGAAGGTTTGTTGCTCTATGTTTACTTACATCAAACCTGTGGAAACACTATGGCTGCATAATTGTAACATTTTTATTAAAGAGTCCCGCCCACTCTGTGTCAACAGTCTAGCTCCGCCCCTGTGTTGGACCCTCTGAAGAAATGGTAAACGGCCTGTATTTGTATAGCGCTTTACACTACACTCAGTCATCAGTTACCATGGCATGGTCATCTGAGCGAAGGCCACGCGGCTCTTCTGTCCTCCTGATAGGCTGGCCACCGGCCTCGTGGCCAGCTCTCCCGTGATACCGTAACCTCCCAGCTGGTGGCGGTACTCCTCCTCGGTCCGACCTGCGATGCAAACGCAGCAGCCCATCAGAGCGCGACGTGGAGCTGCCAATGGCATTGTTGATGGCGCTGTTGCTATAGTTACCGGGGAACTTGTTGAGGAGCAGCTCCACAGAGCAGACATTCAGGTCCAGCTGGTCCACGTGGTGCTGACTGAAGTAACCGATCTTCAGGTTCCTGAGGCGAAAAGATGAGCAGCAGCCATGTTTAGATTAGCGAGCGCGTCGCGATTATCAGCACTCGCTGACAATCGCTCCGAGCACGAGCAGATCCCACAAACAGCGCATGAACAATGGCGAGTCCTCAGTCTAAACCCGCAGGCCCGATAAACAGAGTACTCAGAAACAAAGAACACATCACAGGTAGAAACAGGAAGAGGAGGAGCCAAGAGGGAGAACATGTTAAAGCTTCCTAAAAACAGCGCAGGCAGTCCCTTAAAGAGCGAGAGGAGAGGAAGAAAGCTTCCTGGACAGTGCACCAATAAGATGCAACCAACAGACT